CCATGCTTGATACTGATTTACTGACCAGCTTCCTTCTATTCCCCATCAGACCTCCCCACTGCCTTATTATTTCATTCCAGGAATTCTTCCTAATAAAGCACTTTAACGTAAATATCGGTCCCCAGGTCTGCTTCCGGTGAACCCCTCCTAAAACGCCCTTTCTATGGGATATAAATAAAATGGCTCACCTGAGGCCAGCAGAACATAAAAGCAAAAGAAATTAGGTAGACAGTGAGTCAAAAAGAAAATGGGAAGTTTTGCTAAAAGTCAAAAATATGAGCCATAAATCTTTGGGCTGCCCACACTGGCCTGACTGTCACTAGAGTGAGGCAGCAGTATTTTCCACAAAAGTACAAAATAAATTCGATATCCTTGCTAAACATTAAGCCATTTGTAACACCTGAACACCAAAATCTAATACTGCTTATAGCTAGTAAGGGGGGTCAGCAAAGAAGGAAGAGCTGAATGACTACCATAGCACAGATGGAAAGTGTTCCTGAGCCTGGCCCTCTCCCTTTCATGGAGACACAAGAGGAGATGCAGAGCATGACTTTTTCCAGCCCAGGTGAGTGATTAGCTGCAAGGTTGAACTAAACAGCCATGTGTTATTTTTCTTGTTAAGGCACTAGTCTCTAGTGACTTCAGGCTCCAACCTCAGAACAAGAAAATCAGATCATGGCTCAGATGATCTGGAGATTCATGTCTTTGTGCCTGACCCTGCTTGCTGCATGGTGGGTAATTTTAGCTAGAAGATACCAGGTCCGTCATCACGGAACCAACGTGATTTCAACAATGAATGGATCAGTTTCTGAGGCTCTGGGAAGACTGGATTTCACGTAAAGACTAAAACTTTTTTTCCTTCTTCATTTTTAATTAAATAAAGAATCTGAGAGCCAACGGCCAAGAAAAATAGGAAACCATTGTGTACAACATGAATATTAATGGGTCTAACAGGTTCATTCCTAATTCACTACTCTAGAAAGAAAATATTCTGCCTTCTTGACAAAAATGAACAACTTCTAGAAGATTTTAACCACAGAGTGAGGAATAACACCTTTAGTAACTCAAAATGCTGATTGACCATGTAGGTATCACCTGAATTGCAGAGACATTCCCAAATTCAATGCTACTCCCATTACTAAAATAGGAACCACATTTAGCATAATAAACAAACAAACAAACAAAAAGACAGGTGGAATAATTCAACAGAAAAGAAATGAACTTGGACCTTTCTGTAAGGCTTTATCAAATGTACTTTTAGTCTAAATGATGACACTTTGTGATTAGTCCACAGGTTGAGTTGATTTTAAAATGGATTATATTAAGGAGATAAGACCAAGTTGAGTAAGGTCAAAAGTTTACTTTTTATGGCCATAGTAGGTCACTTTACTTTCTGGACTTTTATTTTTTTGTTGAAGTATAAATGCATAGATCTTACATTTGCAGTTTGATAAGTTTTGACAAATGTATATATATCCACGTAACTATCACCAAGATCATAATTGAGAAAATTTTTGGTGCCCCAGCAACTTTCCTCATGCCCCCTTTCCAGTCCACCTTCTGCCTTCTAGAGTAACCACTCTCGATTTCTATCACCGATTTTCAGTCTTCATGTAAATTATACCAACCAATATGTGCTCTTTTGTGTGTGTCTGCTTTTGTTCAGCATAATGTGATTGTGATTCACATTCATTGCTGTATGTAATGCTATTATGTTCATTTTTGTTGCTCAGCAGTACTATTCAGTTGTACAAATGTGCTACAATGGATTTACCTATTTGCTTGTTAATGGACATTTGGGTTGTTTCCACTATTTGGTTATCATGCATTGGGCTGCTATGGACATGCTAATACAGGTTTGTTTGTGGATATGTTTGCAATTTTCTTGAGTGGTATCTAGAAGTAGAATTTTTCATTGTAGGATAGGATTGGCCTTAACCTTATAAGAAACTTCCAACAGTTTTCCCAAATGGTTGTACCATCTTCCACTCCTCCCAGCAACATAGGAAGGTTCCAATTGCTCCACACCCTTGTCAAGATTTGGTAATGAGGGTCTTTCTAATTTTAGCTATGGAATGGATACTATACATAGAAATCATTTTGAAATAACAATATAGACACAGATCTCAATTACGTCCATCCCAATTTGCAGTGATTTCTTACCACTTTCGTAGTTTATCCTGATATTACCTGCTTTGCACTAATCATTTCATCTTTTGACCACCAAGAGTAAGTCACTGCTTTGAAGGGCTGTGGAATGAACTATTCCAAAACAGATGAAATTTTTTGAATATTCCTGTCATTTTGTATTATGTCTACCTCTTTATTCCTTCATTTGTTTTATTGAACACAAATTCTCATATTAACACCTCTTCTCAAAATGAGAAATGCCTCAATGAAAGAAGCTAATTTTTAAGTGGTATAGGTAGATAGAGCATAAATTTCAACACCCACCCCCACTTCTTCAAAAATTATGGTGTGAGAGAAAGTGGTAGCAAGAACACATTCTCGGGCACCTGGGTGGCTCAGTTGGTTAAGCGACTGCCTTCGGCTCAGGCCATGATCCCAGAGTCCTGGGATCGAGTCCCACATCGGGCTCCTGGCTCGGCGGGAAGCCTGCTTCTCCCTCTGACCCTCTCCCCTCTCCTGCTGTTTCTCTCTCTCTCAAAAAAAAAAAAAAAAAAAACTTTAAAAAAAAAAAAAAAAGAACACATTCTCACTGTGATACGATATATGCAATCATAATTTTCTTAAATTCAAGCCATATAGATTGGATCATGTTAGATAGACATAGTTCCGAAATAAATCCTAGGTTTTTGGGGCACCTGGGTGGCTCAGTTAGTTGAGCATCTGACTCTTGATTTCAGCTCAGGTCATGATCTCAGGGTTATGGGACCAAGCCCCATGTAGCCCTCTGTGCTGGGCACGAAATCTGCTTAAGATTCCCTCGCCTTCTGCCCCTCCCCCAGCTCGTGTGTGCTCTCTCTCTCTCTCTCTCTCTCTGTAATAAATAAATAAATAAAATCTTAAAAAAATAAAAAATAAATAAATCCTAGGTTTTTAATTCTTCATCAGCTAACCAGGTTGATTATTACAGTTGACTGATTGATTGGTATGATCAATTGGTAGGGTCACTGGAGCTTCATGCGGTGGAGTCTCCCACTTGGTGACAGTGTGTTGAGAGGCAATATAGCAGGTGGTTAAAATCACACACCTAGATGTAGACAGCTCAACTCCAAATTTTGGCTCCATCCTTACCAGCTGGGTGGGCTTAGACAAGTTGTTTAACCTCTCTCTTCCTTAACTTACCCACATATAGAGTAGGGATAATAATAATATCCATATCCTAGAGATTATGAGGAATGAAAGAGTTAATATGTAGTAAATGTTCAGAATTGTGTTGAGCACATTTTAAAAGTTACATGAATGCACTATTATTATTCATTTGGAAAGTATTAAGTGCGGGTGAATCAACTACAAAGATTATGGGGTCACATTTAGATTCTATAAAGTACAGCAGTTGATTAGTGATGTCTGCCATGATGTATGTGTTGCGAGTGTATGTGGAGGGGACGATTGAATTGCAATACACATGCCAGATATTGGTTACCTTGACTGAGGCATCAGAATTGTACTTTGTTTTTGATAAAATCACATATATGATGTGGAACTATGCTTAACCTCATATGAAGCGAGAGGTTGTCCACTCACGGCCTGTGAGCCAAATCTAGGCATGGGCTGCAAATAGCGGCTAACCCAATGATTGGCACAAAGTAGATGGTCAGTAAAGATTTCCCAAATGAACTGAGTAAGTAAGTAAGTGAATAAACATTTCTATACTGTCTTTCTTTTACTACCTAATCATTCTCCCTTTCTATGGACTGGAAATTTGTGTTAGCTTCTAGAGATACCTTATTCAGCAAATAGCAAGGCCTAGTACAGTGTGGTATATGCAAAGAGTAGGTATTCAATAAACTGAGTCCTTCTTGTAGCCAACAATAGATTTAGTGATAGACGATAGATTAGCAATGATCGATTAGGCAATTGTTGGTAAAATTTAGATATGGGCAGACCTGGGTTTATGCTTCAGCTCTGCAACTTTACTAGCTGTGTAAATACAGGTAAGTTGGCTGATATCTCAGTTTTCTTACCAGTAAAACAGAAATAATAATTCTGACCATAGAAGATGTTGTAAGGCTTGAATGAGCTAACATATGTAAAGCATAGAGGTACTCCATAAATGTTAGTTCCATCTTTCTTTCTATTTGTCGAAAACTAAAACTAGTGAAAGAGCAGTAAATTGAACATTTTTGTTGTCTCTCTCCCATTGGGTAACAGCTATGGCCTTTGTCATAGAAGGCAACTGACTTCACCTCCAGGTCCAGGTGGGGCTCCTTTTTGGTTAATCCAATTTCACCCCTTTTGCTACACTGACTGGTTCTTTGTTGTTGTTGTTGTACAATTTATTTTAATAAAGTAAGTGAAAAGTATAAAAAGCAAAGCTGGCTCCTCCCCCTTAGTGAAGTATCAAGCGTTTGTTCATAGCCCAAAATTAGTGATGCAGTAAGTGAACAACCTATAAATGGGCCAAGGCCGATTGTCGACTGAGGCTAGAAACCATGCTCTACTACAAATCAGGCCAAAGTTACCACTGCCCAAATCACTGCTGTGCAAGAATGAACACTGAGGGGGCAGAACCTTCTGGTAAACCCGGGCACTTGTAAAAACACGACTTAAGTCACACTAAAAATAGTGTAGCCTTAGTGGACCTCCAACTAAGTAATCAACAAGGTAATGCACAAACTCGAAAGCATGAAGCTGTTCAGAGCGTTAATAAACTGAGCATATTGCACCAGACAGGCGAGCACTTCTGTTTCTCCGAAAACCTGAATTGCATTTCCCCGCACGGGTAGGATTCGTTGCCTGTGCGTGCACAGATTGCAGATCCCCCCTGTTCCATGCTGACGGTCAGCCCTGCGGGGAGTTCCTGCTCTCGCTACTGGGAGCAGAGCTTGGCGGCCCGCTGCACGGCTGCCAGCCGGGCTGTCAGTTGACCCCGGCGGGCATCTGCGTGCTCCGCAGCCCTTGGCGTCGGCTGGTTCACGCCCTCCGTTCCTGGGGCCGCAAACTGCAGGGACATGCCTGTGGCCCAGGCGTTGCCCCTCTCCACGTGGAGCCTCCGACTCAAACCCACACTCCGCTCACACACCAGCCTCCACCGCGGTCCCCGCTCCGGAGAGTCCTCTCCTTGTCCGGGACCCGCTCCGGAGAGTCCTCTCCTTGTCCGGGACCCACTGCGGCTCCTCCGCGCCCAAGCGGCGGCCAAGGGCACTGTGCTCGGGCGCCCTGCGCAGGCCGCTGGGGGAGCGCCCCAGCTTCTTGGCATTGCATTCGGCAAGCGGCCCCCTTGGAGGACATGACGCCTCGTCTAGTGATTGGTTCTTGGTTCAGGCAGCGCATGGCATTTCTCCACTGCAGGAAATGATTCAGGAATGAGCGTGAGCCCAAATTACGGACAATAATGCATGAGAAGAGGTTTTCTGGGAGCTTTTGGGAAATAAATGTGATTGCTGTCATGAAAGAGTTCCTAGAAACTGCTTCTCTCTCCCTGAATACAAAAAAAAAAAAAAAAGGATAATGAAGGGCTGGTGGCAACCATAAAATGGCACTGACACACACCAGGGCTTCCTGGAAATAAACTGAGACCTTGATGTCACTGCTCAGCCAGAGAAAAAACAGCCTGGACACCTCAATTATCTCTGGACTCCGCTCAAGTGAGTCCTGATATTACCTGCATTAAGGCACTTTGATCTCAAACCTAGTAATTCCTGTGATCTTATGTAGGAACCAATATGGAAACCAAGGTCACATTCCATCCCTAGAACTGGTCCTGGGCCAGACTGTAAAGCCACTTAAGTTTGCCTCTAGGGTCATCCAAGCATCTCCCACCTTTCTGCTGGTTTTCTATTGAAACTCTGCTTCTTTCCTCACTCTGTCACCCCTCCAATCCTGCTCCCATTTTCTAACCCTGTTTTCCCCTCTCCTCTCTCATTGGAAGCAAAGTAAAAAAAAAAAAAAAAGTAATAAAAAAACAAAGTACAAAGTGCACCATCTCAACATACCCTCAGTTGGGGAAAAAAAGAGGGAATCCTGATTCATACTACAGTATAAGTGACTGATACATTTCCATGTAACAGGAATAAAATTACAACAAAGTCCAATGACCCTGATATTGGTGGCGTTGCTAAGTCTATAGCGAATCGATAGGCAATGCTGTCCTTGAAGGCTTTGACATCATGTTGTGAAAGCAGCCATCATTTATACCTCCGCAGCTAATGTGGCTACCACTCTACCTCGTTTAATTTTTATTTTAGGCCTGCTCTATGGCAGCATCTGGAAGAAAGCCATGGCTTCTCCATCCTATTGAGATCGTAGGAACTAAAAATAACAAAGGAGGGCGCCTGGGTGGCTCGGTCGTTAAGCGTCTGCCTTCGGCTCAGGTCATGATCCCAGGGTCCTGGGATCGAGTCCCACGTCGGGCTCCTTGCTTGGCGGGAAGCCCGCTTCTCCCTCTCCCACTCCCCCTGCTTGTGTTCCTGCTCTCGCTATCTCTCTCTCTGTCAAATAAATAAATAAAAAATAAAAAAATAAAAAAAAATAAAAATAACAAAGGAAGTGAGCAACTGGAAAGCATCCCATCATTAAATATTCAGGAACCAGAGCATATCTGATTGTGTCACCTTATAAAGTCTCTGCCCTTCAGAAGTCTACAGGATTAGAGCTGGGTATGCCAACAGGGTGAGATAAACACAGACAACTGTATCCCTTACTCCTTACACTTGGACTGACCCACTTCTCCTACACTAGAATTTTGACTTCTTCACCCTCCAAAACGTCCCCCATTCTCACATCTTGACCACAGGACCAGCACCTACTTTCCTTCTCTCTTTGTTTAGACAGTATAGTTCCATGGTCAACCAGATTGTTAAATGTTTGCTTTCTAGGGATGGACATTTGTCCTATAAAAATGCACAAAATTTCAAATCCTTGAAGCAATACTACTTACCTTCCAGGGGTATGGATCACTCAGTGAAGACCCCATCCTAAAGACATTTGGGACCTGGGCCTATCCATTTCTCTAGACTAGACTTTCTTACCTCTCTCCTGTGCTTTGCATAAGCTATGCAACTGAGACCACGTGTCTCTGAGCCTGTGTGATTGGGCCATCTTCTTGGTCAGGAAACCTTCCTTACAGTTAACTGAAGTCTCCCTCAAGCCTGAGCTCCACTTTGACCATCCTCCCTCAAGCCTTTATTACCACATGGAGTGAGCAGCCCCTGGGAATCGTGATTTATCATAGCCTTGCGGTGAACGCAGCAGAACCAGCTGCAGGATGCTGCAGAGTCTATCTGATAATGGAAAATCCAGATCCGGGCAGATGGATGTTGTATTCGGAGGAAATGCCATCACATGACCAAAGTTCCTGCTCTGAGGAGAGAACTTACAGATGTTCACATACCAAAGAAGTCATGGTGCTTCCCAGTGGATAAAGCAGCACTTTATTATTTCCCATCCTTCACAACCCTAAAGCCATAGGAAAACTCAGGCAATCAAAAGGAAATGAGGCTCATGAGCAAGGACGGAAGCTTTATCTGTATCCTAAGCGATATGTTTCCTTTCTTTATATGTTTGGCAACCATGGGGCAGGAGGAGAATGGTATTTATTTAGTTCTCATTACTAATGACCTTTACCTTTAGATGAGGCAAATATATTATTGTAATCTTAATGTGATTTCAACAGAACATTTCATACCTCCTAAAAGATTCTGATTCTGGTATTTAAACATATTTCAATAAAAAAAATAGCATTTCTACCTGTCTTCCTTCCTTTTATACTTCCTTCCTTCCTTCCTTCCTTCCTTCTTTCCCTCCCTCCTTCCTTCCATCCCCAGCCAAGACTCATTAGGTGGCACAGAAAGACCTGGGGTTATTCTCCAAAGATAAAGTTCAATTGCACAAGCATTTGTTGGGTTCCTACTCCGAACAGAGGCAGGTCCTGTACACACATAAGAATGAACTAAAAATCGGGACCCCTGGGTGGTTCAGTCGTTAAGCGTCTGCCTTCGGCTCAGGTCATGATCCCCAGGGTCTGGGGATGGAGCCCCGCATTGGGCTCTTTGCTTAGAGGGGAACCTGTTTCTCCCTCTGCCTCCCACTCCCCCTGCTTGTGCTCTCTCTCTCTCTCTTGCTTTCTCTCTGGCAAATGAATAAATAAAATCTTTTTTAAAAAAAAAAGTGAACTAAATAGAAATATGCCCTTAAGAAGCTTCATATAGTTAAAGAAGGACAAAAACAAATGGATCACAAATAAAGGAGAGCAATAAAAATATGACCACGGTGGTATGGGCCATCAGAGAGGGGAGAGCATCATGTAAAGCATTAGACCTCGAAGAATGGAGGGATTTTAGACTAACAGAGGATGTGGAGCAGAGTTAGACATGCAAGTTTTGAATCGACCCACTGGGTTGATTCAAACCATCCTTTGAATGGTCATGAACATTGAATTTGACTGTTCCTAGGTCTTGGCAAGTATTTGGGCATCAGCTTCCAACCTGAGAGGTCAGTTTTCCTCGTGTTTCATAAGGAAGAAACTTATATTAAATATATATATTTAAAGTAATCTCTAAGCCCAACATGGGGCTCGAACTCAAGACCCTGAGATCAAGAGCCACATGCTCTACTGACTGAGCCAGCCAGGTGTCCCAAAACTGGGACATGATTTTTAAGGGAAGGTTTTAAGGGGAATCCAGACATTCTTCAGACCCTCTCAGAAACCTGGCTTGGGGTCATGGCAGCACAGTAATTTGGCTGGCCCATTTGTAATGTCCAACTCTAGAGACTCAATGAGAAAAGACAGCATAAAGAGATACCCACATGATGGTGTGATGGGTGAAACTTGCTTGCTACTTGGCCTGAACTTTGAAAAAAGGTACAAGAGCAGCCTTTTGTGGCTATGGATGTGAATATCTTTTTTTTTTTTTTAAGATTTTTATTTATTTATCAGAGAAAGAGAGAGAGAGAGCACACAAGCAGGGGAAGTGGCAGGCAGGGGGAGAAGCCGGTTCCCTGCTAAGCAAGGAGCCTGATGCAGGAATCGAACCCAGGACCCTGGGATCATGACCTGAGCCGAAGGCAGACGCTTAACCGACTGGGCCACCCAGGCGTCCCGGATGTGAATATCTTGATCAGAATTACTAAAACTTTTCTGACTAGAATGATCATATTTTTTAAAATGAAAAAGTCTCATCCCTAGATCCTAGGAAACCTGGATTTTTTTTCCATTACCAGTGCTCTCTGACACGTCAAAACAGGGCACTCTCAATTCCCCTCACTTCATTTTTTTTCCTGTTATTTTATGCATCATAAGGTTGAAACAAAGTTACTAAAGGGAAGTGCTGAAAATGTGCAGATGGGTCACAGACAGCCTCTTGTCTCCCTACTGTCAGTCTCTTCTTCCCCTGCATCCCACTTGCAAGAAAGGAAGGCTCAAGCTCCAGACACAGTGGCGATGGGGACAACCCCGGTTGTCCAAAACTTGAAACGGTGTGGACATCTAAAAGATGATAGTAGTGAGAGATTGCCAGACGGAACCGAAATTGGACAATATCGGAAATACCAGTAAAACAGAAACCAAGAAGGGAGACCAGCAGAGAGGTTGGCGGGTGTGAGCCCAGAGAGCGCACCATGGGACGTGCCTTCCCTGTTACTGTCCTCTGCACGGTGGTTGTCAACCGGGGGCAGTTTTGTTTCCCAGAGGACGAGTAGCGCTGTCTGGAGATATTTTTGCTTATCACAACTTGGAGGTGTGAATACTGTTGCCAGCAGCAGTGAGAAACATCTTACACTACCCAGGACAGCCCTTCACGAAAAGAAAGGTCCAGAATGCCAAGCTTAAGAAACCCTGCTCGAGAGCGGAGGTAACGACCAGGATCGCTGCTTTATCATATTTATTGTTGTTTTTCTGGTTATAAAAAGTAATCAGCCACATGTAAAAATAATACCTATTTAATCTGGAACATTATATCAATACATTAAATGCTGTTTTGTCATCATCCCATCCATTATGCCACGGAAGTTCAT